TCTTCCCTGGAATTCTCGCCGTCATTTCACCGTTTTCCTTAAAGAATCTTTTATACCAAATCTGAGACATTCGCCGCGCCCGGAACACGCGTCACATGACAACGCCGGCGACTCGGAGGAAACATGTTGCAGGTTTTATTCCGGTCATTATTGTCACGTATGCACAGAGGCGTCACGCGTGACTTTTCCTGAACTTATTGTTCTGCAATCGCCCCGAGAATTCACTTCCTGCGAACGCTTCTCAGCACCGCCGCGGCCCCCATCGTGTCCTAACCGGGCCCAGAAAGGAGCACCAGAGAGGTGTATATGGGGCCCCCGTGTAGTGTGTATGGTATATATGGGGCCCCGGTGTAGTGTGTATGGTATATATGGGGCCCCCGTGTAGTGTGTATGGTATATATGGGGCCCCTGTGTAGTGTGTATGGTATATATGGGGCCCCTGTATAGTGTGTATGGTATATATGGGGCCCCCGTGTAGTGTGTATGGTATATATGGGGCCCCTGTGTAGTGTGTATGGTATATATGGGGCCCCTGTGTAGTGTGTATGGTATATATGGGGCCCCTGTATTGTGTGTATGGTATATATGGGGCCCCTGTGCAGTGTGTATGGTATATATGGGGCCCCTGTGTAGTGTGTATGGTATATATGGGGCCCCTGTGTAGTGTGTATGGTATATATGGGGCCCCTGTGTAGTGTGTATGGTATATATGGGGCCCCTGTATTGTGTGTATGGTATATATGGGGCCCCTGTGCAGTGTGTATGGTATATATGGGGCCCCCGTGTAGTGTGTATGGTATATATGGGGCCCCTGTGTGTGTGCATGGTATATATGGGGCCCCTGTATTGTGTGTATGGTATATATGGGGCCCCTGTGCAGTGTGTATGGTATATATGGGGCCCCCGTGTAGTGTGTATGGTATATATGGGGCCCCTGTGCAGTGTGTATGGTATATATGGGGCCCCTGTGTAGTGTGTATGGTATATATGGGGCCCCTGTGTAGTGTGCATGATATATATGGGGCCCCTGTGCAGTGTGTATGATATATATGGGGCCCCTGTGCAGTGTGTATGATATATATGGGGCCCCTGTGCAGTGTGTATGATATATATGGGGCCCCTGTGCAGTGTGTATGATATATATGGGGCCCCTGTGCAGTGTGTATGATATATATGGGGCCCCTGTGCAGTGTGTATGATATATATGGGGCCCCTGTGCAGTGTGTATGATATATATGGGGCCCCTGTGCAGTGTGTATGATATATATGGGGCCCCTGTGCAGTGTGTATGATATATATGGGGCCCCTGTGTAGTGTGCATGATATATATGGGGCCCCTGTGCAGTGTGTATGATATATATGGGGCCCCTGTGCAGTGTGTATGGTATATATGGGGCCCCTGTGTAGTGTGTATGGTATATATGGGGCCCTGTGTAGTGTGTATGGTATATATGGGGACCCTGTGGAGTGTGTATGGTATATATGGGGCCCCTGTGTAGTGTGCATGGTATATATGGGGCCCCTGTGTAGTGTGTATGATATATATGGGGCCCCTGTGCAGTGTGTATGATATATATGGGGCCCCTGTGCAATGTGTATGATATATATGGGGCCCCTGTGCAGTGTGTATGATATATATGGGGCCCCTGTGCAGTGTGTATGATATATATGGGGCCCCTGTGCAGTGTGTATGGTATATATGGGGACCCTGTGCAGTGTGTATGATGTATATGGGGCCCCTGTGCAGTGTGTATGGTATATATGGGGCCCCTAACCAATCACCACCAACCCCAACCAATCACCACCAACCCCAACCAATCACTACCAACCCCAACCAATCACCACCAACCACATCCAATCACCACCAACCACATCCACCAACCCAACCAATTACCACCAACCCCAATCACCACCAACGCCAACCAATCACCACCAACCAATCACCACCAACCAATCACCACCAACCAATCACCACCAACCACCATCACCACC